TTTATCGTTTTAATGCCATTGAAGATAACTTTTGATCAGAAAACAACAAAGGTAAGACATATTGCCGTGTTGGCTACCTAATGCTACGTGGTGTGATGTCTTTGTTAGCTTCTCATGTCGCGAGTTCGGATCGGTCAGTAATGATACCAGTACCTGTACAATCTCAGTTTGCTAATCGATATCTTGTTTCTGCAGATACGATAAGTAATAAGGGTTTTAACGTGAGTTCTGTGCTAAGTGTGTTAGCATGTTTTCGCTCAGGGCTAATTCAGAGCCTTTGTTATTACCCTTAAGTTTCGTTTTGCTAAAAATTGTTGTTTTTTTGCATCTTGCACTTCATTTAAAGCCACGGTTTCATGCTCACCTGCCATAACAAACTGCAGCTGTGTGTGTGTGTGTGTGTGTGTGTGTGTGTGTGTGTGTGTGTGTGTGTGTGTGTGTGTGTGTGTGTGTGTGTGTGTGTGTGGCTACACTGAGAGGTGGAGCCACACAGAAAGTTGAGACGTGTAGTGCCGAGAGATATGGAGTCAGAGGCGGTGCAAGGAAGGTGCAAGAATAGTGATTTATTCACAAGCTGCAAAGGTCATGTTGTCGGGTCACAGCCCGGGTCGACAAGAGAGTGAAGTCAGGAGGGCACACAACATATATAGTAAACACATAACATGTCCGTGTGGGAACAATAGCCCCAACTGTAGTTCCATGTATGAATTATGTTCCAGTGTATTAATAGGTGGTCACCACACAAGCCCCCCCAGAATTCAAACATGGCAAAAAAAAATATATCCCCACGTCCGTGGAGGAAGCACCACAAGGGTCGAGGAGGGTGGGGCCGCAGGTGAGGACTGGGCCATGGAACGGGCCACGAAAGGGGGCCGCAGGAGAGGGCAGGGGCCCTAATGAGGGCGAGGGCACCCACACCGGGGGCGGGCCGTCGTAAGGGTGCCGCAGTAGGTGTCGCGGAGAACCCAGCAGGAAAGAGCGCAACCCGGCCGCAGGCAGACGCACAACGGCGGCGGGCACGAAGTCCTCGGCAGGCGTCGAGGTATCCCCGGAAGAGAGGAGCAGTCCCCCCGGGAGGAAGGAGCGCAACCCGGCCGCAGGCAGACGTGCAACGGCGGCGGACACGAAGTCCTCGGCAGGCGTCGAGGCATCCCCGGGAAGCAGGAGAGCAACCCGGCCGCAGGCAGACGTGCCGCGGCGGCGGGCATGAAGTCCTCAGCAGGCGCTGAGGCATCCCCGGGAAGCAGGAGAGGCCAGACAGGGTCCCGGAGCGCGCCACCCATGGGCCGATGGAGCATGGTGTGTGTGTGTGCGTCTGGAACTGTCGAGGCGAGAGGGGGTCCAGGAGTGCGCCACCCAGGCGCCGATGAACGTGAGTGGCGTCTGGATATCCCCGGAAGGCAGGAGAGGCCAGACAGGCTCCGGAGCGCGCCACCCACGGGCCGATGGCAGCATGGGCGACGTCCAAAACCGTCGAGGCGAGACGGGGTCCAGGAGTGCACCACCCAGGCGTCGATGAAAACGTGAGTGGCGTCTGGAACCGCCGTGGAGGTGGTGAAAAAGGTGAGAGTGTCCACATGAGGTCAACCGGCTGGTCGAACCTCCTCTCCGGCACCAGAAAAAAAAACTCAAAAGGGTCGATAGCCGTTAGCTGTTGCCGTTAGCTGGCAGCCATCGGTAGCTGCTAGCCGTAGTTAGCCAACGTGGTTAGCTGCTAGTTGTCGTTAGCTAGCGCAGCTGGGACGTGCAGCCGCACGCCCCGAAGAAACCCCACGAGGCAGCAATCGGGCTCATCCCTACCCAGCAGGTCGTGCATCGTCCCCTCTGTAGTCGGAAGGCAGCTGCGGGAATGGCGAGCAACATCTCCAGCCTTCTGCGGAGCGCGCACCGAGCCTCAGTCCGCGTGCCGGTGGCAGCCACGGACGTCTCCAATCAAACCCCGGCATTTCGAGAAAGGAACTCGAGTTCCTTTTGCCGTGTTCGGCTCCGTCCCGGAAACTTCTCAAGACGTATCAGGGTCACCAGTGTAGTGCCGAGAGATATGGAGTCAGAGGCGGTGCAAGGAAGGTGCAAGAATAGTGATTTATTCACAAGCTGCAAAGGACATGTTGTCGGGTCGCAGCCCGGGTCGACAAGAGAGTGAAGTCAGGAGGGCACACAACATATATAGTAAACACATAACATGTCCGTGTGGGAACAATAGCCCCAACTGTAGTTCCATGTATGAATTATGTCCCAGTGTATTAATAGGTGGTCACCACAGACGTCACATTTCCTACAATCAAAGGTAAAGTTTGTGTGGGTGAGAGCAGAGCTGCAGGTGAGACACGACTCTCTGTCCCTCTCTAAAGGAACTGGATCCTCAACGACACAGAATCTTCCAGAAACCCGTGAGTACGCTGCCCTATAGAGACAAGAACACTATCTAAATATCAGTCCACATTTAGTTAAAAACTGAATCTTTGATACCTGTTTTACTATTCAAAATAATGTTACGCCACAAAATGAATTCATTTTGGATAACAAGAAAATATTGTCTGGTCAGTTAAAGTGAGACAGAACGTCGTCAGCTAATATTGGGTTAACATGTACAAACTTCCTTTTGACCTTTCTTGTCTGTATTAAAGAATAACTTATGATGGTCTATAGGGCTGCTCGATTATGGCAAAAATCATAATCTCGATTATTTGGGTCAATAATTGTAATTGCGATTATTAAATGCGATTATTCATTGACTTTGAAAACATCCATTTATTCTACTTTAAAACAAATACAAATAATAATTTGAACTTTTTAACTGTTGAATTATACGTTCAGGGTAATCAACTGAAAAACCAATACAAAATAAAATAAATTATACATTCATGTCTACTATTAAATAAATAGATTTCAAAATAATAAATACCAATAAACAAGATCAACAAACATGTTGCAGTGCACAGTCACAACCTGAACACTCCTCAACATATAGCCAACATTTTGGTAAAACATATTCCACTCAGTTAAACATTAAAGGCTGGCCCACCGTCATGGTCCAGAAGTAATAAATAAATGTTGAACTACAATTTAAGACCAAATAAAAATGTTGTGGCCACCATGGCTGGTAGGGCTGTGTCACAATCTTAAGGAGAACCCAAATGCAGCACTCGAGAAACCAAGGAGAATTGGTAATAAACTTTATTGGAGATTCCACTGGATCTGAGGAATACCAACCGAGCAGTTTAACGCACCGGAGGACAGCGGGCAGAAGGTGAGTCAGGGACAGGCAGAGAGTCAGGGAGTAAGCGAGGCGGTCAGCGTAGATACAGGCAGGATCAGGGAACAGGCAGATCAAGGACAGGCAGGGTCGGAACCGGGTAGGCAATCTAGTTTCAAACGCGGGAAAGACAAGCATGAGGCAAAGTACAATCTGGTAAGGTGCGGGTTTAAATACTGGCAGAAGCTAATGGGTGCAGAAGAGAGAGAGAGTGAGCTAACGAGTGGGTGTGGAAAACAGGTGAGACAGGTGAATGGAAAACTACTGGTGAATGATGGAGCAGACTGTGACAGGCTGCTCATGTCATCTCTTAAAGATGTGTTGCTAGAAACACCAGCCTGTTCACATGGTCTGGTTTCAGAGATGAGCGCAGGCAGGAGACGATATTGCCACCTGTACTGAAGACTAGGATCTCGATTATTTGGGTCAATAATTGATATCAAGATTATTAACAACGATTATCCATTTACTTTGAAAACATCAATTTATTGGAGAGAGAAAAAACATTTGAACAGCATGTTTTTAACAGTTGATTACCCTGAACTTTAATAATTCAACTGAAATTTTTTTTTTTTCAGTATAGCCCTTAAGGTCATTATTTGACCTTAAGGGCTATACTGTATATGAGGCCCTAAAGAATCTGCTCCATTATCTGTTTCAAATGCACACATTGATGCCACCAAATGATACAATAAAAATAGAAAGTAGGCTACTACAAATACATACATTTATATCTTAAAGGTCCCATGTCATGCTTTTCCGGTTATCACCCGTCCCCTTGTTGTTATGAAGGTTTTTCTGCATGTAAACGGTCTGCAGTCACAAACCCTCAAAGTACACCCTGTAGAGAGTAAAACTCTAACACAGAGAAGACCTGTCTGTGCTGCCCCAGAACGCCTCGTTGGACATTTCTCTTTTTCCATTTTTTTTCTTCCTGACTATAGTGACGTGACGATACCCAGGTCCAATTCATGGAGCTCCTCACACACACACACACACACACACACACACACACACACACACACACACACACACACACACACACACACACACACACACACACACACACACACACACACACACAGCCTTATCACATTACATGTCACTTGTTAGACGCACCAACATCTTCTGGAATCTGATGTCCAGCGCTCCGTCTTTTAACCTTTTTCTCTCTCTTGATCCTCTTTAGTCTTTATAGTGCTTAACATTGGTCTGTACTACTGTCATATTGACCTCTGAAATGTCCCATTTGACCAATCAGAATCCAGCATTCAACTAAAGGCCCTGACACACCAAACTGACACCAAAGAACACGTCCCGACGGACCGAGAGCATGTTGCCAAGCTTTACCTGGAGATGCTTGCAGCCGGATTATCATTAAGGAGCGGAGCTTTTGCATCTCACAGTTGAGGAAGATCAGTAACAGAGGAACCCAGACTCATGAGGAGCCTGACAAAGGTCTACTGGACTTTACATCATTCAAAAAGAAGAGATGCCAGGTAGGACAGAAGAATGAAAGAGGAGATTAAGGCGAGACAGACTAGAGAAGATAAAGTGAAGGCTACACTAAGGCAAACAGTTTGATAGATGGAATGAGTAGTAGAGAGGCAGGCAGAAATAAAATAAAATACTACCATTAAAGAAAAGCCAGAAGAAGATACCGCTCCACGAGAGTAAATGTCTAGACGTATCCAGAGAATAGGTGATCTCAGGTTTGGAAGATCAGCAAAAAACAGTATTCGCGATGTTCATGAACTTCCGTCGTATTCACAAGTGCCAGTTCGTGCAGCTGCTGACCGCATGCATGGTGCTGTGTGTGGTGATGGTCAGCTGGGAGGAGCTGGACCACCATGTGGTCAGCCACATGAGATCCTACACGTACCGCTACCTGGTCAACAGCTATGACTTCCTCAACTCTAACTTCAACATCACCTCCAACCGTCACAGAAAGCATGGTTCTACTAACGTGTTGCTGACCTACCCGTACCTCATCAACCATCCAGGGAAATGTGCAAGGGGAGATGGGAAAAGCGGGGATGACGTCCTCCTTCTTCTGTTTGTGAAATCATCGCCAGAGAACTTTGAGCGGCGCCAAGCCATCAGGGACACGTGGGGGAACGAGAGCTTTGTTTGGTCCGAACTGGGAGCCACCATGCGGATGGTGTTCGCCCTCGGTGTGGACACAAAGCAGAGATCCAGGGTGCAGAGAGCACTGCTACAGGAGGACCAGACCTACGGAGACCTGATCCAGCAGGACTTTTTGGATACCTTCCACAACCTCACAGCCAAACTGATCACGCAGTTCCACTGGGTCCACGACTACTGCCCTCAGGCACGCTTCCTCATGTCTGCAGATGACGACATCTTCGTCCACATGCCCAATTTGGTGAAGTACCTAAGGCAGCTTCTGAGAAATAAATCAGGGGTCAAAGACTTTTGTATATACCACATCCCCTATGATCTGTACCCCTGGCCTTCCTACCCGGACTACACGGCTGGAGCGGGGTACGTGGTTTCAGGAGATGTGGCCGCTAAGATCTACCAGGCCACTCAGGTGCTGAACTCCTCCATTTACATTGATGACGTCTTCATGGGGATTTGTGCCAAAGCCATGGGGGTCTCTCCCCAGGAGCATGTGTACTTTTCAGGTGAGGGCAAGGCTCTGTATCACCCCTGCATCTATGACCACATGATCACATCGCACGGTCACGCCACAGACGTTCGGTCACTGTGGCAGGCAGCTACAGACCCTGCAGTGTACGGCAAGTCCAGAGGATTTATGGGTAATCTGTACTGCACAGCGGTGAGGGCGATGATGCTGTGTCGGCCATATTACCAGAACTCTTACTCCTGTAAGGCTGCTTTTACATAAATGATCCTCAGGTAACGCAAGGACTGCTTAATGCTAAATGTTTGCAGACAAAGAAATGATGGAACTTTACTCAAACAGTCTGCCATGCTGTTTTTCTTTAATGTGATATGTAAGTGTTTACTTGGCTAACTTGCCACACACCACCAATGCTACAGCTTGAGCCAAGCAGCACAGGGATGAACTATGCCAATATTTTAACAGTATCAGTGCAGTGCCTTTTCAGTGGGGCAAGATATAGCAAATATGTGTGCCTATCCTGCTATTTGTGTGATTTCTTTTAATCACACAGCGTTAAGAACAAATTAAAATGTGCCTATAACTGTCAGCTGCAGCCCTAGTATTATCATTGGTTTAACTACTAACAGTATATATTTAAAACATGTTAAAAGGACCATCTTGAATAGCTACAACAGTAAAATACTTCGAGGCAGATTGTGGAGGATAATGGGAGACTGAAGCCAACCTCACGTATGAAAGGTTACATGTCAATAGAGGGGCAGAAACCGTCTTGCAAATGTACATTCCAATCTTGAACAATGAACAGCGGTAGACAGTAACAAAGTATATTTACTTAAGGACTGTACTGCTCCACTCCCATTCAGGCCAATAGTGTACTCTATACTGCGCTACATTTATTTGATAACTTTAGTAACTTTGAAGATTCAGAATACCACTAAATATAATCAAGAAATAGTTGATCATGTATTATTATAGGTTAGGATCAAATGTTATTGATCCCATGGTGAATTTCACAAGCTACCCAGCAGTATATCATGTCATTTAAATCAGCTCCTCCACTTCAGCTCTCTGAAGCAGAAAGACACTATTTAAGCATTGTGGCTGGCAACCTTAAAGTACCGCTGCTACCACAGCAATCTGAACAGCCAATCAGAGTTGGTTCTTCTGCCGACAGTGTCCGCACGGCCGAAAAGACACGGCGGTGCGGGACACACCAATCTGAGTAGAGCGACAGGACGCTCATCGACGGCGAGACATCTATCGACGGCCGAAATCAGCTTGGTGTGTCCGGGCCTTAAGCCGTTTTTAGCCTTCTTTAAATGTAATTTGACTCTAATAGCAGAATAAGCATCATGGCAGCAGTTTTATCACATGAATAAATGCATGATGTGACAGTAATGGAGATGGACACATTGTGTTTTTAATGGTTTTCTATTGAATGTATTTAGGACCTTACACATGTACACAATTGTGATGTTAACAAGAACCATCAAGCTCCAGATGATATTACAGCAAAAAGGCATATGATTAGTTAAGTTTAGTCTAAATGTGTTTTTACTATTAGTTTAATAACCAACAAGCAGCTGGAATACAAACGTTAGTTTTTAAAGTGACTTTCAGCAGACAGGGATCAGTCAGACAGCCTTAATGAACGATGTAAAACTACAGAGAGAAGAGTGATCAACCTACTCTTGTTTAGTCTTAAAACATCTCTATTCAACTTTATACTATTAAAAAAACACAGTCTAATCTTTGGAACTATTCTGAAATGGTGGCGTTGACAGGAAACCGAGAGCTCGCTGACTCTTGCTAAACTAAATGAAAAGCTTTCAGATGCACTTTAAAACTGAACGCTGTTTTTATCTGTGTTCAACAAGCTCACACTGCAGACCAGTCGGACTTGTTCAGCCACATGTTTTTATAGGGCGATACATTTAAATGCTGGTTACCATGGTTACAACCGGTTTGTTGGCCCCATAAGCAGTATTGGTAATACGCAGTGTTAAATGTACGCAGCATGTTGTCAGTCAGTGCCAAAGAAAAGACAACAAATAAAACCAACTATCTTTGTCACGAGTCGGACACAATGGCGTTAAGGCATCCATTGCATGACTGTCTGAAGTGCTTCACTCCTGGCTGTTGTTTCTGCCTGCTCGGTAACCTGTCCGGGATTGTCTGCAGCTGTGTGTGTGATAATGTAAATGAGCTGTGTGGTTGCCCCAACGTGATTGGCTGTCATCTCCTGGTCCACTTCCGAGGACACTGATTGGAGCACGCCGGGCCCGACGTTTTCCAATCGCAGCGCACAGCCGGCGCATACCTGCTGGAGACGACTACCAAGCTGGGGACAATCATCGCTCTGGAGGGATCTGTTGAGTGAACAGACGCCTCTCGCTACTTGCTTTTCGTTCTGTGGTTAACTTGTGTGGTCTGTGTCTGGTAGTGTGATATTGTGTGTTAGTCGTGCCTAGAGTAGCTTAGTTAGAGGTTAGAGTAGTTTACATAGTGTTTAGAGTAGCTTAGGTTTTGTGACTGTTGCCTTTAGTTTAGCTGTGTGTTTTGTATATATTCCCTGTGTTAGTCTGTACCACTTTTATAGTGAGGGTTTTAGTTTCTATTTAGTTCCGTTATTATCTATTTTTTTTGTATGTAAACAGGCTCCCTTTTTAGAGTCCTCCCTTTGTTTGGTTATTTGTCAACCGGTGCCCTTTTGGCCTTTTTTTGTTGTTCGGCTGCATGCCTGCCATTTTGTTTACCGCTGCTATATATAATAAAACCACTTATAATTATTACCAATCCCATTCTGGTTGTGTTGCTTCCCTTTGGTTCCCCTAGCCCAGTAGGGAACGTAATACTGATGTTATCTCCTCCAACCTTCCTGTGCCACTGACACAGCGACCCAGGCAGGTGTGCAGACCAGCTGCAGACAGAGTGCAGAAGGGGATTTACAGGAGCCACATGCAAGGTCGTTTAGGAGCAAAAAACAAGAATACATAGGCCTTTGACTCTGCCCCAGTCTCCAGCTGAACTAAATGAAACGCTTTCAGATGTACTTTAACACTGAACGCTGTTTTTATCTGTGAATCAACAAGATCACACTGCACACCAGTCGGACTTATTCACCCACATGTTTTTATTGACAGTTTGGCGTCAGCTTTTCAGCATAAAGCATTCCCACTAGGAATTTCTTCAGGAATTGCATTCTCTAGTTCTTTTTGTTAATGTGCATGAAGACATGGCATTGTTGTCATGTCATGTGTCTTTAGTGAAATGTGATTGTTGAGCAAGACTGCGATGTTGTCTAAACCTGTAACAAGCATGATATGGACTGTAACCTGGTTGTGTGAGTGTATGCTCCAGAGAGCAGGACCTTTAAACACATTCCCTACCCAATAGCATTGTGAGGCTGAACAAAAGGACCGTTTGTAAATGTGGTCTTTTAAAAAAATAAAAACATTTACTGACTTTTTTGGATAGCTTAAACTCAAGTTTAGCTAAAAAGACACCAGAGTCTGTTTTGGATATTGTTACTATGCAAGGACAAGTACTTGAAGTGGTTACCAGTTATAAATACCTTGGTATCTGGCTTGATGATTGTCTTACTTTTAAACTTCATGTCAATAACCTGCTTAAAAAGCTGAGGGTTAGGCTAGGTTTCTTTTTCAGAAACACGTCCTGTTTCTCGCTGGAGGCCAGGAACAGGCTCTGTGACCTTTGACCTGTGCTGGACTCTGGTGATTTGATCTATATGAATGCACCTGCCCATTGCCTGGAAAAGTTAGATGCTGCGTATCACAGTGCCCTGAGATTTGTTACTAACTGTAAAGCACTGACTCATCACTGTACCCTGTATGCCAAGGCAGGTCTGCCTTCACTAACTGTACGGAGGCTCAGTCACTGGTACATGTTCATCTATAAAGCCATGTTGGGTAAACTACCTTTTTATATCTGCTCTCTGATCTCTCGACGAATTGAAAGTACTTATTGCCTGAGATCTCATGATGTGGTTTTATTAAATGTGCCAAGTGCTAGGACTGTCTTAGGGAAGAAAGCTTTTAGTTGTGCAGCTCCACTAACTTGGAACAGTCTGCAAACATGTTTCAAACTGAGCACTTTGGTTCCCCTGCATCACTTTGAAACTCAGCTGGGTGACATGCTGTGTGATACTCATGGTACCTGTCTCTGTAAATAGAGTTTGTAAACTGTACATTATGTTGTTTGTCATCATTATTGTTGTAATTGAATGATAATGTGCTAATCCATTACCTTGAGTTGTCTGCACTCAGGAAAACATCCCTATCAAGTGTTAACCCAATAACTAGGACAGCTCTGAAGGCCAAGGGTCAGAGAGAGAGGATCACACTCTCCGGCTGCAGAGAGCAACTTATCCAC